TCCTAGTAGTAAGGCCAGGAGCCCCTAGTAGCGTCCTTGTTCCTAGTGCGAAAATTGACTGACTTGGAAAGTGTGAAGATTTCCTTGCGGCGGACGCGAAAAGCGAAGGTCTTCTCTTCGACTCGAAAAGTCTTGAGAAGCTCGAGCAGCCCGGAGCCCGGTCTTTGACGTCAGATTTGGGTTCTGGAGGGTACTCCCCTGGTGAACTCATGCCAAACGCGAGCAGAATGGTTTAGGTGTGGATATAGTTCTGGGTGAGTAAGGTGGTGGGTGTTGATATTATACACCCGGATGTAGGGAGCAACACTCGATCTGGGTCTCTTTGTTGGGTGGGCGGGCAGTAACTCAACGCAACCAACACGGCTTCGTTCTTGTACAGAGACCAGAGGCAGTTCTTGACTCACAAAGAAAAACAACGAATGCAACCTAGAACCTGAACCGTTCAACCCTCTCATGTGATTTGTGTCCGTGATTTCCTCACGTCAGAGTCAGCCACATGGTCCCAGAGACGACTTCGACGTCGGTACGCCGGTACCCGTAGCGGTCCCGTTTTGTTCCGGTGGGGAAAACCCGTAGCGGTCCCTTTTGGTGTGTTTTTTTTCGAAAGAATGGGACGGTTTCCGCATCAATCAGAGCTCAATGAATGGTTATCTCCAGTGGAAAGGCTCTCAGTTCTACGAGCAAAATCCAGTGAGAACGAGCGGAGAATGGGGGGGTTCACTCGATTTAACGTGACGAACGAAGCAACGTTGGGACGCCGGTGGGATGCCGAGCCTCTGGTCGAACCGGTGCAGTCAGGCAGTTGGACTGGATGGGACATCCGACAGCGAAAGAGAAGGGATTAGTAGTAACAAGTGCCTTTCTAGTTTCTAACAAGAAGCTATTAGCTAATTTTAGTTAATGTTAATTCCCAATAGCTTCTTGTTACTACTAGTAAGGCACCTGTTACTAGTAGCGATGCACTTGTTCCTAGTAACGTCTAAGTTTACCACCCAGTTGGCATGTCCAGTCTCGTCCCGTCCAGTCCCGGAGGCGGGTCGTGACCGCGCCGGACGCACGCCGCTGTGGCTCGAAGTCTGACCTTATCGACCTTACCCCTAAGATCTTCCCGATCCACTTCCTCATTGTCGCTTGGTTGCTGACAGACCAAGAAGATGTGTCGGACTGTGTGGGAAGAGAGGATGAGTGTCACAGAACTCTGTGAGGAGAAGGGAAAAGATTGAGAGATAGTGAAAAGAATTCTTAGGTTGGAGGCCACTACTAGTAGGTTTACTTGAAAGCCATATCAATTGAAAACGGTTTTTGTCCTCCAGTGAGCGGGCCAGCTCGTTCACTCCAAAACTGATATTTCATCCTGCTGGCGTTGTTTCCAACGACTTGGAACACAACAGGATGAAGCGCTAGGTACGCATCGGCAGCATCCACCTCAGCTTTTCGGAGCATGATTTGTTCGTTCGGTGTTTGGTTCAAACTCGCACAGCCTGGGAGTATCCAGATTCAGGGGGTGACACATCTCCGATAGCCTGAAGAGTTTCTCAGTCAGAGGCATATCCGATGTTGAGTTCCTCTGCTCAGGGTGATCTGACAAGTGGCCAGATTTCTGACCTGCTATCAAAATGAGTTTGTCGATGTCACTCTCTCCAACGAATACTTGGGAGCTTTCGTTTTTCCAGCAAGCTGGAATTTGGGGTCGGAAGAAACCGAACGTGCTCGCGGAAGCGGTGGTCAAGTCCTCGCAGAGCGATATAAAGCAGACCAAGGGGTGCGGCCGTTTTCCTGTGGGAGGGTCGATCCATTTTTTCAGATGGACTATGCCTGATGACCCCCAATCCATGGTTCCTTGTTCTGCATTGAGCCGGCCGCTCCGTTTTCCGCGAGGTCTGCATTCGCGTCCGTGCGACGCGGGGCGGCCCGCAGCGTTCCACGTGAGGCGGAGCGGCGGAGCGATGGCCTACCGCCTCGTCTTGTTGACCCTTCCAATCTGGCAGGCAAGGACGCTATTAGTAACAAGTGCATCGCTAGTAGTAACAAGTGCCTTACTAGTAGTAACAAG